GTGGTGTAACGCTTGGGCGTGGGGCCGCCCGCGGGAATCGGTTGGAATCGGTGAATCAACCCTTGGCGCTTTCTGCCGCTGCCTCGCGGGTGACACGCTCGTGTGTCCTGGCCACGAGGATGGTAGGGACGGTGGGCCTGTCGAAACCCAAGGGGAGCTCGGCCTTCGGCGGGGGCTCCGAGTTGACGATGTGTATCTGGGTCTGGGGGTGCCGAGTCGGCCCTTCCAGGTGTTGCCGAGTCGGCCCTTCCAGGTGTTCCAGGAGTCGGCCCTTCCAGGTGTATATATATATATATATATATATATATGAGCGGCGTCCCAAATCCATTGAACACCATTTTGCTCGTGCAGGCTTAATGGTAAACTGCAGAAGCTCCTATGTGTTGTTGGACCCTGACGTTGTGAGATGCGTGAACAATGCGTCAGTTCTTTCTTGGACATCGGAGGATGTCCCGAGCAAAACGGCAAGACCAAAAACCCGGCTTCAATCAATCGCCTCTGAACCCCTCCCTCTCGGGGAGGTGCGTTTGAGAACGCATACATTTGTACTAGAACCACGCGCGCGCTTCGCGCGCGCTTAGGTTCTGTCGAGTCACAGACCCAGGAATCGTTGCGAGAAGAAATTGGTGACGCGAAGCGTCTTGGAGGCGTCCTTGGACGTCTGGGGTCTCCTGGGGCCTCTTGAGGGGCCTCCTTGGGGCCTTCTTGGGCTCCATCTGGAAGCCAAGATGGATGCAACAAGAGGGTGCTTGTGCTCTCCGTGAGCTATCCTCTGGTTTTCATTCCCCTGGAGAGGAGAAGGAGGAGGAGGAGGAGGAGGAGGAAGAGGAGGAGGAGGAGGAGGAGGAGAAGGAGGAGGAGGAGGAACATGCAGAGGAGGGAGGAGGAGGAAGGAGAGGAGATGTTGGGGCGCTCTTGGGGCCCTCTTGGGCTCTCTTGGGGCTCGTCGGGGCCCTCGTGGGGCCACCTTGGGCTCCTCTCGGAGCTCCAAGAGGAGCCCACAGAGGGGCCCAACATCGGTCACGCGAGAGCTCTTTCGCGTGACCGATGTTGGGGCCCTCTTGGGGCCCTATTGGGCCTCCTTGGGCCCTCTTGGGGTCTCGACGGGGCCCTCGTGGGGCCATCTTGGGCTCCTCTCGGAGCACCAAGAGGTGCCCAAAGAAGGGGCCCAACATCGGTCACGCGAGAGCTCGTCCGCGTGACCGATGTTGGGGCCATCTTGGGGTTCCTTGGGCCTCCTTGGGCCCACGTGGGGCTCCCTCGGGGCCCTCGTGGGGCCATCTTGGGCCCCTCTTGGAGCTCCAAGAGGAGCCCAAAGAGGGGCTCAACATCGGTCACGCGAGGGCTCTTCCGCGTGACCTATGCTGGGGCTCTCTTGGGTCCCTCTTGGGCCTGCTTGGGTCCTCTTGGGGTCTCGTCGGGGCCCTCGTGGGGCCATCTTTGGCTCCTCTCGGAGCTCCAAGAGGAGCCCAAAGAGGGGCCCAACATCGGTCACGCGAGAGCTCTTCCGCGTGACCGATGTTGGGGCTCTCTTGGGGCTCTCTTGGGTCCCTCTTGGGCCTCCTTGGGCCCACGTGGGGTTCCCTCCGGGCCCCCTCTTGGGCCCGTCTTGGGGCCCTCTTGGGCCATCTTGGGCGCCTCTTGGGCCGTCTTGGGGCCCTCTTGGGCTGTCCTGGGGCCCTCTTGGAAGCTTCTTGGGCCGTCTTGGGGCGGTCTTGGGCGCCTCTTGGGCCGTCCTGTAACGTCGGAAAGCCCAAAAGACAACTTTGTTGAAATGTACGTTTTACGAAGGGAATGGGCCAATTTTGCGTCTAGGGGCCCTCTTGGGACGCATGTTGGAGGCTTCTTGGGGCCTCTTGGGGGCGTCCTTGGACGTCTGGGGTCTCCTGGGGCCTCTTGAGGGGCCTCCTGGGGGCCTCCTGGCGGCCTCTTGGGGCGGAAGGCTCGAGCTTGCGGTTCGTGGTCCCCCTCTGGGCCCCCTCTTGGGCCCAACTTGGGCCATCTTGGGCGCCTCTTGGGCCTCTAGGGGCCCTCTTGGGACGCATGTTGGAGGCTTCTTGGAGCCTCTTGGGGGCGTCCTTGGACGTCTGGGGTCTCCTGGGGCCTCTTGAGGGGCCTCCTGGGGGCCTCCTGGCGGCCTCTTGGGGCGGAAGGCTCGAGCTTGCGGTTCGTGGTCCCCCTCTGGGCCCCCTCTTGGGCCCGTCTTGGGGCCCTCTTGGGCCATCTTGGGCGCCTCTTGGGCCGTCTTGGGGCCCTCTTGGGCTGTCCTGGGGCCCTCTTGGAAGCTTCTTGGGCCGTCTTGGGGCGGTCTTGGGCGCCTCTTGGGCCGTCCTGTAACGTCGGAAAGCCCAAAAGACAACTTTGTTGAAAATGTACGTTTTACGAAGGGAATGGGCCAATTTTTGCGTCTAGGGGCCCTCTTGGGACGCATGTTGGAGGCTTCTTGGGGCCTCTTGGGGGCCTCCTTGGACGTCTGGAGGCCATCTTCAGCATCTCGGAGCCCTCTTGGAGGCCTCTTGGAAGTTTCTTGGGCCGTCTTGGGCGCTTCTTGGGCCGTCTTGTCTGACTGGGGAGGCCTCCGGCAAGCCCCGACGAGCCTCCGGGCCCCCCGGGGTGCACATTTGTGGTCGAGGTCCCGGCCCCGGGCCCCCGGACCCGGTGCGCCGTTATATGTATATACCTGTACACGCACATCACTAGAAATGTCGCGCGCCCTTCGCGCGCGCTCAGGTTCTAGCGCAGGCCGCGGGGTCACTGGAAGAGCTTAGACAGCTCTATCATGCACAACTGTGTGTCGCAACCGTACCCAATCGTCACCTCCATACTGGCCCTCATCCTCATCATAACCCTTTCCTCCGCATTCCAATCGCCGCTGCCATAACAAGCCGCGTGGCCATACTAAAACAACAATCGTCACCAACAACAGCACCATACCGTAAATACATCCATGGCCCAGTGCTGCTAGCCATGCCGTCGCGTCACACTCGCGCATCAGCATCGTCACCATCACCATCGTCACCGCCATCATCATCGTCCTCGCGTTGGCTCATCCTGGCGTGTAGTGCATGGTACAAATCACTCCTGTCTCACTCGCAGGTGTTACTGCACTCGACGGGGTGCAACAAAACTGGACGCAATGCACTGCGAAGGCCATGCTGGTGCTGCACACCAAGGTGGTCGGTGGCACGCCAATGCAGACGTAGTTGCTGATTGGTTTGTGACACCCGCGTGGCCATACATCAACATCCTCCTGCACCTGGTTTGGCTTTTCGCAGCGGCGGTGCGGTGGTGCCCTTTCACCTACATGTTCCCCTCGGGCTCCAGGTGTCCCTCGTGCGGTGGCGGCATCGGCGCCAAGCGGTCATGTGCTATGTCGTTCCATCTGGTGCCAATGCGTTATCCCCTCTCTGTCCGCAAGTTCAACTTGGGTCATGCTGTTAAGTTGGGAAATCATTCTTGCCGTGGCAGCGTCACACACGAACCTCGTGGCCCTCCCTTCGTTTCAAAATGGTGCTCCGCTCCAGGCTCCCGCTCGCGGTGGCTCCTGCTGTCGGCACTGGCGGCCCCCCCCGACGAGCGGCGGTTCCCACTGGAAGCGGTTGCTGGCGGCGGCTTTAGGCGGCGACTCTCACTTGCGGCGGCCCTCCCTGGCATCTGTTTTTTTTGTTTTTTGTTGTTTTGTCCCCCTTGGCATCTGCTACTGGCAGCTCCCGCTTGCGGCGTCTCCTCGGCAGTGCGGCTCCAACTGGTCCTCCCGCTGGCTGCGGCTCCTGCGCGCGCGGCTCCCGCGGGCGGCTCGCGCTCGCGGAGGCTCTCCTGCCCAGGCGGCCTCCCGTGCAAGCGGCTACGACTGGCGGCGGCTCCTACGCAAAGCGGCTCCTATTGGCCTTCCCGGTGGCGGCGGCTCCTGCGATGGCGGGTCCCGCTCGCGCTCCCGATGGCGGCGGCTCCTAAGCAGGCGGGGGCTACCGGCGGTCATCCCACGCGGCGGCTCCCACACAAGTGGCTCCCACGTGCGGCAGTGCCTGCGCGGGCGGCTCCGATGTGCGGCGGCTCCCGCGCAAGCGGAGCTCCCACCTGTTGGGATGGCGCCGATGGGTCATGATTGCGTACATAGGTCCGTCCAGGCCTGCAGTGCATGGGACAAGTTGGTCCTGTCTCACTTGCAGGTGCTGCGGCAGGCGGCGGGGTGCAGCAACACTTGACGCAATCCTCTGCGAGGTCCATTGTGGTGCTGCACACCAGGGTGGTCGGTTCCCCGCCTGTGCCCACGTTGACTGTCTTGATTGCGACACCCACGCGGCCATGAATCAACATCCTCCTGCTCCTGGTCTGGCTTTTAGGCAGCAGCGGTGCAATGGTTCCCGTCCACCTGCATCTTCCCATCGGGCTCCAGGGGTCCCGGGGCGTCTTGGGCGCTTCCTGGGGACCTCTTGGGGCCCCTTGGGAGCATCTTGGGGTTGAGAGCTTGATTTTTCAGTTCGCGTTCCCTCTCTTGGGCCCCTCTTGGGGCCTTCTTGGGACCCCCTTGCGCCGTCTTGGGCGGCTCTGGGGCCGTCTCGGGGCTCTCTTGGGCCGTCTTGGGGCCCTCTTGTTGGGGGCCTCTTGGGCCGACCTGGAGCGGTTTTGGGAGCCTCTTGGGCGGTGCTTTAGCGCCGGAAGCACGAAACAGCGAGAATGCAAACAACATGGGACAAAAACGATGAACATCAACGATTTTGTCCTCTCGGGGCGCTCTTGGCCGGCAGGGGGCATCTTGGGGCGGAGAGCTTGATTTTTCAGTTCGCGTTCCCTCTCTTGGGCCCCTTTCTGGGGCCTTCTTGGGACCCTCTGCGCTGTCGTAGGCGGCTCTGGGGCCGTCTCGGGGCTCTCTTGGGCCGTCTTGGGGCCTTCTTGGGGGCCTCTTGGGCCGGCTTGGAGCGGTTTTGGGAGCCTCTTGGGCGGTGCTTTAGCGCCCGAAGCACGAAACAGCGAGAAGGCAAACAACATGTTGAAAGAAACGAGCAAATTAAAATCAGCCATGTTGCCCTCTCGGGGCGCTCTTGGGCGGCATCGGAAAGGCCTCTCGGGACGTCTTGGGGGCCTCTGGGGCAGTTTAAAACGCATCGTGCGGCCTCTAAGGAGCCTCGTGGCGCCTCTTGGGGGCTTCTAGGCAGGCCTCTTGGGGGCATCTTGGGGCGGAGAGCTTGATCTTTCAGTTCGCGTTCCCTCTCTTCGGCCCCTCTTGGGGCCTTCTTGGGACCCTCTTGCGCCGCCTTGGGCGGCTCTGGGGCCGTCTCGGGGCTCTCTTGGGCCGTCTTGGGGCCTTCTTGGGGGCCTTTTGGGCCGACCTGGAGCGGTTTTGGGAGCCTCTTGGGCGGTGCTTTAGCGCCGGAAGCATGAAACAGCAAGAATGCAAACAACATTGAACAAGAAACAAATGCAAATCAACGATGTTGCCCTCTCGGGGCGCTCTTGGGCGGCATCCGAAAGGCTTCTTGGGGCGTCTTGGGGGCCTCTGGGGCAGTTTAAAACGCATCGTGCGTCGCCAGAGACCCCTGGACGGCGTCTTGGGGGTGTCTCGAAACTGTCTGGGGCCGCCGGGATTGCTGCCTGAAGGTTCCCCGGGGAGATTTTAAGCCTCCCAGAGGCGGGCCCTGGCCCCGGTGCCCACATTTGCGGTCGAGGTTCCAGCCCTGGGCACCCGGGCCCGGTGCGCCCGTTAGATGTATACTGTGTATACTTATACATATATTCTATTTCATATATAGAGACAGATAGATATGTATATATACATATATATGTATATAGACTAGCTATACATACACATACATACATATATATATATATATATATATATATATGTATGCATATAGTTGTAATATAAGTACACATTTGTATACATATATAGAGTGCTAAACATATTTATCATAGTTATGTATATGCATGGTACGGGGCGGCTTAGGTGGATCAATAGATGCGGTGCAACCCATGTAGAGCAATCCAGTTTGTGCAGCCGGGATGGTGCAAACTGTGTGGTGCAACCTGTGCTGTGCAACCTGCGCGGCGCAACCCGTCTGGTGCAGCCAGCGCACGAGGCGGCCACGAGGCGCCCATGGGCGGCCACCGGCCGAACATCCGAGGACTTCGGCCGCGCACGAGACAGTCACGATGCGCCCACGGGCGTCGGGGATCTTCTGACCCGGGTGAATCCAGACCAGGGGCAATCAGGCATTGCAGACACCTGCAAGATCCTGCACCCAAACCCAGGTCAGTGCGAAGGATCCTGCAAGTTCCTGAACCCAAGCCCAGGTCAATGCGATCCTGGCCCTGCAGGATCCTGCGAGATCGGGCGCTCTGGCTGACCCCCGTTTGCATTGACCCCCGTCTCAGGGCTCCCGAAGGCGACGAGTGGCCGAAGACCCGGCAGACCCAGCAACGCACTTAGTGAGCAGAACTGCGCACACCGTAGTGCAAGCAGTGCTTGGGGAACTTCAGGAAAGCTCCTCCCCCCCCCTCCTTCTCTTCCTCTTCCTCCTCCTCCTCCTCTTCCTCCTCCTCCTCCTCTGGGCCTACCCCAGCGCGCCAACATCCGATGCCCCTTCACCCTCCCTTCCTCGGCGTGCGGATGGCCCAGTCAGATAGAAGCCTGAAGCAGTCCAACCCTCGTCCCTTCCCTTTTCTTCCCATCCCCACATTCTCCCTCCTCCCTGTTCCTTCCTTTCCTTCGCCTCCCTCCTCCTCCCTCCCTCTCCCCCCCGACGGGCGCGGGGCACATCTGGGATGCAATCGCTCCGCCCTCCCTGCCTCCCCTCGCGAGGGCCCTGGGCTCACTGCGTCGGTCACATCTCCCTCGTCTCTTCGGCGAGCTGCAGGGCGCGCTCGCCTGTACGCGCGAGTGGGTGGCAAGCAGGCAACAGGGCGCACCTGCTGGAGAGGACGCTTGGATGGTGGGCGGGACCTCCCCACCCACCCCCTGCCGTCGCCGTCGCCGTCGTCGTCCTCCTCGTCCTTGCCGTCGGCGTCGTCGTCAACGACCTCCTCGGCGAGAGAGGGGGGCGGGCCGCAGAGACGCGGACCTCTGCCACCGCGATGCCACCCACGGAGGCGGCAGTGGCGGTGAGGTTGGGCGAAAGGCACCTGCCGCGGCTGGATGCAACCCTTCCTCCTCTTCCTCCTCCGTTTCCTACATTGCGCCTCCTCCGTGTCGTCCTTTTTCCTTCTTCATGCCTTGAAGTCGCCTGGCCACCCGACATGCTGGTAGTGCGGGCCGGGCGTTTCGCCTGAGATCGCCTCCTTTGCTACATCCATCTGCTACACGTATGGCAGGGGGGGTCGTTTTTAACATGTGGCTCTCGTCCCGGCGCCGCGCACATGTGTCTTAACATGTGTCTTATCTGCTTCCAACAATTAAGCGGATAGAACAGAAGCCGTTTCCAGACTGATACTCTCACCTCTTTAATTCATGTAAGACGTTTCCTACAGTTGCGCGAGTAGAGCCCAAGTGGCATTCAAAGTGCGAATACCTCCTAAGCTCCGCGCGCAGCCGTCTCAAACGCACAGGTTGCAATTCAAACTGCGGTTATCTCCTTAATGCCGCGCGCGCTCGTCTGAATCACCCCACGGGCACTCGGAAGGAGGGGGTAGCTTTGGACAGGTGGCAATCGCCTCAGCCCCGCGCGCATCCGCCGGACAGCTTCCAACATCTGCGCAGATGGAGCACGGCACCTTGTCAAATGCTGCTGTCGCCTCAGCGCCGCGCGCACTCGTTGTGTATGGGGGCGCACCCAAGAGTTCTACGGACGGAGGCGGATCGTTTCCAGCATGCGGTTCTCGCTGCCGCGCCGCGCAGATGCGCCCCAACAGTTTTCGGATGCTGCGCGGCTGGGGGGGGCACCTCTCCGACTGGGCATCGCTCGGGCGTCCATTCCCTGTGCCTTTTTCGGTTTCGTGCGTGGTCCTTTCGCCAAATGATCAGGGATGCTCCTCGATGGTCCTCGCCGAAGGAAAAATGCACACGTCCGAGCGATGCCAAGCCCAAAGAGAGCTCTTTCGTCTGAGACTTCTTTCGTCGTCGCCAGAAATACCAAGCTGTGCAATAACTGCACGGGTGGACGTCGGCGCGTTTCTCTCAGACCAAGGCTCTCGCCTGATACGGCCTATGGTTTCACTGCCGGGCCTTGACAACTGAAGAACACTTGCACGGACTGAAGACGGCACACTTTCAAAGCGGGGTTTTATCTGGACACTTCTTGAAGCTTGGCGATCCCACCTCGTCGCAGTCCTGAACATCAGTTGCAGTTCCTCTCCGAAACGGGGTGATCGCCCGAATTGCGAGACCATGGAGCGCTGGTCTTTCAAGTGCGTACTTCCCGTACCGAAGACGTGCTGCAGGAGCTGTGCCGAGGGGACTTGGGGACCGGCGGGCGCACTGCGGCAACGTCGAGGCACAATTGCTTTAAGCGAGTAACCCGGTAGGGTCTTTAGAAAAGGCCCCCCCCCCCTGGTTCTCTCTCCGGGGAATAAAACTCCGCGCCCCCCCGTCCTCCACCCTCCCTCCCCCCGTCCTCCCCCCTCGCTCCCTCTCCCTCCCCCCACTGAGGACCTCCCGCAAGCTACGAGGACTGAGGACCTCTCGCAAGCTACGAGGACTGAGGACCGCAAGCTACGAGGACTGAGGACCGCAAGCTACGAGGACTGAGGACCGCAAGCTACGAGGACTGAGGACCGCAAGCTACGAGGACTGAGGACCGCAAGCTACGAGGACTGAGGACGCTCCTGCCTGAGGTACCAGGGCCGCCCAGGAATTAGTTTCGCACTATTAGCCGCTTGGGCTTTGTACATCTTCCCTTGCTGCTCCTCCTCCTCCTCCTCGCTATTGCCCCCCCGCTCACTATTGCCCCCCCCCCGCAGCCACGTGAGTCTCAAGCTCTTTGAGGCGTCAGCAACGGACTTCCTTTCGGGGCGCTCCAACACAACCTGAGGCCTCGAGGCTCTTTTGAGCCCCCCCCCAGACGGCAGACATGCCGTCAGGCGTGAGCCCCCCACGAGGACCAGGATGGCACTGAGGGCGCGGTCTTGGACGAGCTCTTTGAGGATGGGCCGAACGGCCCCCCTGAGGCGACGACGACGACGGACGACGACAACGACGTTTTCCTTAGGTTTTTCCTTGGGTTTTCCTTAGGTTTTCCTCAGGTTTCCCTTAGGTTGTCCTTAGGTTTTCCTTAGGTTGTCCTTAGGTTTTCCTTAGGTGTTCCTTAGGTGTTCCTTAGGTGTTCGTTAGGTTTTCCTTAGGTTTTCCTTAGGTTTTCCTTAGGTGTTCCTTAGGTTTTCCTTAGGTGTTCCTTAGGTTTTCCTTAGGTTGTCCTTAGGTTTTCCTTAGGTTGTCCTTAGGTTTTCTTTAGGTTTTCCTTAGGTTGTCCTTCGGTTTTATTTAGGTTTTCCTTAGGTTTTCCTTAGGTTTTCCTTAGGTGTTCCTTAGGTTTTCCTTAGGTTTTCCTTAGGTGTTCCTTAGGTTTTCCTTAGGTTTTCTTCAGGTTTCCCTTAGGTGTTCCTTAAGTGTTCCTTAGGTTGTCGTTCGGTTTTCCTTAGGTTGTCTTTCGGTTTTCCTAGGTTGTCCTTACGTTCTCCTTAGGCAGTCGTACATTTTCCTTAGGATGGATAAATCGAGGATGAAGTTTCTCACGGTCCTCGCGGGTTCCCTCCCTCCCCGTGGGGCCCGAGTTCCACACGGAAAATAATATTTTCCATTATTGCTGGGGTCCCAGTCCGTCAATAAGCCCGCGGGACAACCATATATTTGCGCACTATTGGGGGGGGGGTTCAAAAGACCCTGTGGGGTTACTTCATCCCCTCCCTTACAGAGAGCTCCTCTCCGTACCCCCCCTCGCATCGGTAGGGCGGGCCGTTCGTTTCGCCCGAGCCTGGACTTCCTCACCACTTACGACCCTGCAGCCTAAACTTCGCGGTCATTGCACGGATGGGTTCCTCCGCCTGAGAGCCGGGCGCATTCGCCTTTAAAAGTTGCAGCAATCACAGGGGCGCAGCACAGGTCGTTCTCAAGATGTTGCTCGTGCCCCAGCGCCGCTGACGTTCGCCAGTAGAGCTAGCCACAGTTGCAACTGTGCAGGGCGGCTCCTTTTCGAAGCGGGACTGGCCCCGTAAGGCCGCGCACATGGTTTTCAATCTTGCAACAGTGACGACTGTGGAAGGTGCATGCTTTCTCTGCTTCTCCCCACATGGAGCTGTCTCCTCAGCGCCACGCATATTCGTCTCACAAGCATGCAAGAGTCACAGAGATTCGGCGGCGAGCCCCAGGGGGGGGGGAGTGAGAAGGGGCGGGCCTTCTCAGAAGGCTCGGAGGTCCCCCGGCCTTTTGAGAAGCATTCTAAGCCTTCCCAGAAGACGCAGAACACCTCTCAAAGGCGCGAGGGCTCCCGAAGTCCCGCCGCTTTCTGATGAAAGCCTCCTCCCTCTTAACTCCTCCCCTGGGCGCGCCGCCGAACTCAGATTTCGGGTCATAACTTGGGTCTCCGGCGCCCGTTCGGGACGATCCGGGCCTCCCCGAAACGCTCTCGGCGAGGCGCAGCCGCTGGAGCGCATCCCGAGGCCGAACAACCGCCAAGAAACTACGAAAGCGCTCGGAAGCCTCGAACTTCGAGTCTCCACCTCGCTCGCCGCCAGAACAGGGCAAGCGATGGAGAGAGCGGGTGACGCAACTTCGGTGGCTGCCGGTGGCCAACCGCCACTTCTCCCTCCCTGGCCCTGCCACCAACCCAACACCACAAAATCCGAGCTCCGTGCTCCGCGGCCCCACGCTGGCACCACCTAGGGAAACGAACTCTGTGCACCGACGCTTTTTCTGGCCCTGCACTTGAATTTGCACAGACTAAAAGATCACGTTGTATAGGGGATCCTGCTGTATATATTTTTCGGCGTTTCCCCGGGAAACGGAGCAATCTGTATACACCACACCACCCCGACGTAACCCCGACCCTCACAAAAGTCCTGGGATTGAAAGACAGCTCGCCACCGGTAATGTGTACGTCCTGTTTCCGACCAACCTCCGCTTCCATCCCTTCGGCGCGTGGGGGCGTGCCAGAAGTCCGGGCAGCTGCCCGGTGGCTTTCAAGTGGCGACCCCCCTGGATGATCGTCCTCCCGCCCCGAAGGCGGGCCACGAACGCCCCGAGAGAGCTTCAGCACGGCTTCGCGGCCCGACCCGACGGCCCCAGTTCCAGCATACATAAGCTCACATGCCCCTCCCAAGCACACAACTTTAATCTTCCAAAGGACCACACGAGCCCCCCTCAACAACAACAACAGCAACAACAAGAACAACAACAACAACAACAACAACAACCACAACAACAACAACACCACCACCAACAACAACAACACCAACACCAACAACGCCAAGAACACCACCAACAACAACACCAACACCAACAACAACACCAACAACAACACCACCACCAACAACAACAACACCAACAACAACAACAACACCAACAACAACAGCAACAACAACAACAGCAACCGCAACAGCAACAACACCACAAACGACAACAACAACACCAACAACAACACCAACACCACCAACAACAACGCATTACCGAGGCCTCCCGCTGGGCCCTGGGATGTGAAACACAATAACGTCCTTCAGGAGGGTTTAAAATCTTTTAGTTTCTGCACTTTCAGCTCAGAGGAACCTCTGAGAGCGTCAAGGCGGCCCCAGAGAGTCGCGAACAGCCCCCAAGAGAGCCCTAATGTGGCCTCAAGGCTCGAGCACTCCGCCCTAGGATAGTTCCATCGCACCACTTCGGGAGAGCTTGCCGCGGCGCCCAAAGCGCCGAAATCGCCCCAAACAGTCCGCCCAAATGCCTTCAAAAAGATATCAACAGGCCTCAATGAGACCCCAAGGAAATGTAAGTTCGTCTCGGGCACAAGCTCCCTAGACAAAGGATGCGGTAAGGGTCATTTTACAAAGGCCGACCGGACCGGCTCGTGACTCTGTCAGGCTCAACCATGGCGTTACCTATTGCGCAACAGGCACAGGGGCACAGAACGGACACACTCATGACTCGGTCAGATGCAACCCATGTCGTTACCATTCGCGCAGCCTAGACAAAGTGGGCCAAC